CAAATACAAAGGTCTTACGATATAGAGAGCTCAAAAACATACAAAAGACTTGTTCATGTAACAAGTATTGTAAAACTTAAAAATGCTACGTGACTCTTTTGATGAATTAAAGTTGGAAGACTAAAATGCAAAAGGGACTGAGTAGTAATTTTGGATAAAGGGGTTGTTTTTGACTTATATACATCTAAACCTCATTCCTCATCAGCGACATCAACAAACTATCCTCATACTTTTTGGTCTAGGATGATCTCCATTCTTATCTGGGAAGAGGGGGCCTGGCCCTAGCTCAGTTCTTTAAGTGGCTGCTTCCACAAAGCTATCAGTCTGAGGTTGCTGTAGTTCAATCCCCACAACACTCCAGCCAGCCAAAAGTGCCCTGAAGGCATTCGAGGAGAAAAAAAAAAAATCCTTATTCCAGAGCCAGGGAAACAGCTCAGTAGAACAAGTGCTTGCCTGGCAAGCACAGGGTCCTGAGTTCAATCCCCAGTACTGAAAGAAAAAAAAAATGCTTATCTGGAAAGAACCATATCTATTGAAAAGGCCCTGGTAATGGTACTTTTATTATTTATTCTTTAGTTTTTATTGTACGCATGTCTTATCTCTTCAAAAGACTAAGAACCTGCCTTTGGTTCAGTAAGCATATCTTTTATTACTTTTTTATTCCTTAACAAAATGCAATAAGAGCCTTCACATAATAGGTATTGAAACTCCTATATTAAATGAAATTGTACAGCATGTGTGCACCTATGTTCTACATTTGTGGTAGCTAATGAAATTGTTGAAGTTTTCATGGGCTGTTGTAAGTGTAGGTAAAGCTGAATTTTTGGAGCATTGTGCTTCCATCCCAGGTGAGCCACATCTATTCCTGATTTTATTCATTTTTCAATAAAATAAAATATTTGCTTTCATTCTGTTTTTCTTTACATAAAATGTTTATTTAAATGTTTTAAATGATAGCTCTGGGATGAAATGGCTAAAGCTGTATGTTTGAGCATCAGGTTCTGACCATTCCAAATTGTTAGTTAGGCCATTGCCTAGCATGTATGGGGAAGCCTACCCACTTCAAAAGGCAACTTGGCAACCAAGACAGCAAACATGGGAAGATTGTGCCATCAACACTAACTGGGCTTAGGGACAGCATGCAACTGCATCTGGGTCTGCAAACTTGGTGCATTTGGAAGGTGCTGAATCCACTATTGATACCTTTTTTGCAGAGTTATTTATTTACAAGTCCTTAAAAAGGTAAATATCATATGTACAGATTGACAATCAGATGCATAGCCAAAAAAAAAAAAAAAAAAAAAAAAAAAAAAAGAAAAAGAAACTAAAACTTGAGTAATTTGTAGGAAAATGAATGCACTTTGAGACCATAATGTTGTTGTGTAAATCAGAGCTTAATTTTAA